GAAATCAAATTCTAGTTAAATCCAAGTGGCCTCAGCAAGAATATAAGATGGAAGAACCTTTGTACAGTCTTGCCCTGTTATATATGACTATAAGCTTATGGGGACCAGGGAGTGGAATGTGGTAGCTTGAATAAGAATTGACCCCATAGGCTCATATATTTGAATGCTTAGTTACCAGGAGTGGAACTGTTTGAAAGGTTCAGATTTACAGTGGTTCTTAGCATGTGGATTGTGACCACTTTGGGGTTTGCATATTAGATATCCTGCATATCAGATATTTACATTATAATTTATAACAGTAGCAAAATTATGAAGTAGCAACAAAATAATTTTATGGTTGGGGGTCATCCCAGCTTGAGGAATTGTATTAAAGGGTCGCAGCATTAGGGAGGTTGAGAATCCCTGGTTTAGAAAGATTAGGGGGTGTGGCCTTTTGGTCGAAGTGTGTCACCTGAGGTGGGCTTTCAGGTTTCAAAAGCCCATGCTAGGCCCAGCCAGTCTCTGACTCTTTCTTTCTCTGTCTGTGGATCATAATGTAGCTCTGAACTCCTTCACCAATATCATGCCTGCCATGTCTGTCAGCATGATCCCTGCCATGATGATAAGGAACGAAGCTTCTGAAACTGTAAGCAAGTCCCCAGTTAAATGCTTTACTTTAGAAGAGTTGCCATGTGTAGCAGGGTCCTTGTTGTTCTTCCCTTTGGAGGTGGGGACCAAGTAGGCGCGGAGTCAAACCACACAGACTCTGGGGAGAATGTCAAAACAACAAGCTCAGTTTATTCAGGAAGAGGCAAGTCTTATATACCTTCCACCCAACCCTGGGGGAAGATCTGATGAATATGTATCCTCTGATGTGACATGGCTGCCTCTCATTGGTCCAGGTCATCTCAGATCATGTTTCAGCTGCTGTTGCTAAGGCCCTTAGGCAGACCCAGCTTGGCTCTCAGAAAGCATCTTTTTTACTTGTTTGGGCCAGCTGGCCCTCAAGCCTTTTAGGGATGAGTCATCCCACAGTGGAGCCTGTGTAAAAGGTAAGTGTCATGTGAGTTGTGGGTGAGACATTCACAGTGGGTCCATGTGTTATTCTGAAGTGGATTAGAAATGAAGGGAAGCAAACAAGCACTTGGTGGTATGGCCTTTGTGGCTGGGTCCTGGAAACTCCACTGAGAGTGATGAGAGATTACCAAAGACAGACACAAGTGACTTAAAATTGTGATTGGGTGGGCCTTGACCTCGGATGGAGACTTATCAGCAGCCCGGATACTCAGCAGATTTATTATATATAGCATGAGGGAGGAGGAGGCAGCCTAGGTGATCTTGGTAGGTGGGAACAGTCTCAGGGAGTTTGGCCATGAAGTCAGTGTGTTGAAGAAGATGCAGTGGGTACTTTCTGCATGTACTGTTTTTAGCTAAAAGTCAATGGTCTTCAGCATCCATACCTGGACCAGGGAAAAGTCTTGCCATTCCTCTGAGCCTGACCCAGGGAGGGCCTTGCCATTCCCACGAGTCTAAGACATTGGTGTTCTTGACATGGCCATATTCATGTCATGAATGCTTATTCATACCAGGGTACTTGTGTTTCCCACATCGTGGATCCTTATCATACATACTTTGAGGTGTGGCTTCAGACTTGTGTGTCATGCACAGATTTCAGGTGTCTTAGCTGCTGTGTTCCTGGGCTCTCGGGTACCTGTAGGAGACTTGGGATAACTTAAGGCACAGCCACTAGAGTACTTTGTTTCTGCTCAGGAAATAATTCTCTATGTGAGCCATGATATGAGTAAGATTGCAAGGTGCTTTTCTCCTCCTCCTCTTCTTCCTCCTTCTTCCCTTCCTCCTTCTTCAAATTATTTTTAATGTAGCAACAAAGTAATGGGTTTCACATTGCGTCTTCATACATATGTGCACACATACGTGCCGTCCTTGGTTCATTTCTCCCACTCTCTCTCCTGTGCTTTATTCTCCCCTCTGGCTGGTCACCTTCCTTTCTGTTTGCATGCAGTCTACATCCTCTTCTATTTCCCAGTTCCCTTTCTACAATCCATCTTTGTCTTGCCTTTCCCTGCTCTGTCGTGCCTTTTCCAAAACAGTGAAAAGGATGGGGAGAAGGCTTGGACGGAATGCTGCCCCAGTTATAGTTGCCAAATAAACTGATCTAACCCCGGGGTTCAGATTGGAATTTTGCTCCTGAGTAAAAATGGCAAAACTCCTCTTTCCCTCAGATCTGCTTTTCGTTCAAAGTTGAATAAATACTTGGAATAGTCCATATAGACATGTCCTTAAAAATCAAGAGCTAGGGGTTGGGGATTTAGCTCAGTGGTAGAGCGCTTGCCTAGCAAGCACAAGGCCCTGGGTTCGGTCCTCAGCTCCGGAAAACTAAAAACAATAAAAAAAAAAAAAAAATCAAGAGCTAAACCAGAAAACACGAGTTGTTTGCACCTTGCCTTCCCAAGTTCCATTCAAGTTCCTCAAGGGGAGTCATGTCTGAGTTGGAGCTTTCATGCTTGTAGAGAGATGGGACACTGGAGAGCAGCCCAGGAAGAGAGATGCCAGACTCCCCTAAGCATCATGGGGAGGACTGAAAGTCTAAGTACAGAGCGCTGGGACCATGGACTACCCCAAGGCCCCCTCCTGAGCCAGTGTAGGTAGGAAACTCTCCCCCCTCACCTCAGTCCTTCTCCCACCTCCTTCCAATTCACCCATCACACAAAGTTCAGAAAAATAATCTCTGGGAAAACGATATCTGAGAGGCTCTGCACACTGGGATGCTGGCCCCCACGGAGTGCAGAGGAGAGGCTAAAACCTAGAGTTTTCTTGAATATCTGTCTATTGAACCCTGTTATCACAATTCCTTCTGATTGTGCTCCAGAGTACCAGAAGCTCTACACCGCCCTCGGGAGGAGACCCAAACTGTCTCAAGAGGGATCCATCTAAGTGACCCATGTGCTGGCCTCCAGAGTGTTCTAATGATTGTCCTTCTTTGACCTTCGACAGTCCACAAACCTGCCTCCCTGCAACAGCTTCTAATTAACTTCCTGATACTTAACCCTTAAAGATAAATGGACAGAGATCAAAACACATTTGGATCTATCGCCGTGACAGATAGGTGTTGCAGACTGATTCTAACTAATGTCTTCACGCTGTTTGGCCTGCAACTTCTACTCTGATTCTGGCCTTGCCCATGTGACTTGAATCAACCAGTGGGACAGTAGTTAACTGCATGTAAGTAGAAGCTTGAAACAATGCTGTGTATTTCCTCGGCCACTCACATGTTTGCATGCCTGAGCTACCTTGTTGGAGAAACAGAGAATTATGTAGGGAGAACGCCATCCTCCCGACAAAGAATGTAATGTTAGAATCTAGCTGCTGTCTGTAGCTGCTCCACACTTTCACAGATACTGACAGGCACCTACGGAGACATTGTCTGAATCCCTAGCTAACAGGCTTGCTAGTGCCAGGACATGACATCTCATCTGGAAAGCAAGTTGTCATCAAAGGTGCTACATCCTGGTCCCCACCACTTTCGCTGACTTCTGCCTGGGGATCAGAGAGCCTGTGTGCAAGATCATGCTATGAACTACCCCCATTCTCAGTGTATTAGTTTGTTTCTACACTATTGTGATAAAACATTCTGACCAAAGCAACTTGGGGAAGAAAGAGTTTATTTAGCTTAAAGCTTCCAGCCCATCATCAGCAGAAGGCAAGCTTGGAGTTCGTCAGGAACCTGGAGGCAGGAACTGAAGCAGAGGCCAAGGAGGAATCCTGCTTACTCTTTGCTTATACAACTTAGGACCACCTGCCCAAGCATGGCACACTGTTCTTAGTGGACTGGGTCCTCCACATCAATCATTAATGTCTCACAGACATGCCCACTGGCTAGTCTGATGGAAAAAGATTTCTCAGTTGGGGTTTGCTCTTCCCAGGTGACCTGAGTTTGTGTCAACTTGACAGACACTAAGCATCACACGTGGGGAGCTAGAGGAAGGGGTTATGTCTTCATGTTGTGCTGTGGCTATAGTATAACATGATACTGTTGCACACTGTTACATGTTGAAAGCAGAACATGAAAGGGTAGATATTAGATGATGAGAAAAAATTGAATGCAGGTAATGGACATGGGTCATGAAAGGTATATAAAGCTAATTGTTGTTATAGTTTGAAATCTGTCATTTTTCTTTGTGTTATGGTTTTGGGTGGTGGATAAATACATAAAACTGCATTTGCTAGTGAAAGTATAAAATCCAGCTCTGACGTTCCACAGCATCAGAATGACTGTTGTATCTACATAGATGTTCATAGAGCTATATAGACTCTGGGTTTGGCTAATTTTGGTATGTGATTTTTCATTTGCAAGTTCTTTGTAATAAATGTTTAATTAGAAAACAAAACAAAGAGGTTAGCTTTGTTTGTTTCTGCCACTTGGGCTCAGATTCTCTGAGACCCTACTATGCTGTCTGTCGGTGATGATGCTAGGGTCTGAATTCTCTTCAGAGTCCCTGCCATGTGCCTCTCTATCTGTCTGTTCATTGTATTAATAACTCTTCTAATAAACTGCACAGTCCCCAGTGATCTGTTTCAGCATCCTCTTGAACCACTTACCCCATGTAAATCTTAACATAAAGAACATTTGTGGCTGGCCCGAACCTCCAATTGAACACACAGATTTATGACTGAGCCCAACTGAGTCATAGGCAAAGCACTGCCCTCTCTGAGGAAAGACAAATGCCATGATAACAAGCCTGCACCATCAACCTGACTTCTTGCCCAGTCCTATCCCACTGTGTTTGAGGTGTAAGAACACCTGCTTAATCTTGCAATCCAGCTGTCTACGGGAACGGCACCTTGAGTCATGTCTCATATATAACTAAACATCATGCCTAGAAGTCAGGAGAAGCAGAATGCTAGGCAGGCTTTGCTGGACACAGATGTTTACCCTGAGGTTCCTGGTCCTGCTGTATAACTCTCTCTTTATACTTTTGTCTTGGTGATTACTTCTGCAGGATTAGATGAAAGTACTGGAATGCCTAGTAGATAAAATCAACTATCTGGATTCAAAGTCTCTGCCCAGAGCTGCTGGAGGTGGAAGAATTTGGGACGTATGTAAGATCACCTAACACTCCAGGCTCAGCCTGGTCCTCTGTCTGCGTGCTTCTTTCTGTACGTTTTGTTTACACACAGCTTTTTCTGACCTCAATCTCATTTCAGGCAAGAATACTTCCAGTCAGGGAGCATTTAATTGTCACCTCTTCCAGGGATTCTCACAACTCAAGTCTTACCCTCCAGTTTGGATAGAAAGCATTTTCCCTATTTGAAAATAATTGTGTCTAGAAGGTTCAAGCCCCTTAGCTTGTTTTTCGTGGATTCTGCAATGGTCCCGTAAGTAGAGTCCTATGATTGGCACCTCTGCTGGCCCTTTTCTTCCCCCACCAAACATTGTAGAGATGCTATTAGCTCACTGGGGACCTCAGGCGAGAAAGTAACTAAGAAGGTTGTCTTTCAGCTATGTTTTGAATATTGTCATTTGTACAAACAGCACACACAGACAGGTACTGTTGCCTGATGAATAATCCTAGAGTTGACATTTTAGCATCTAAATGGGTTCAGAGAAAGGATTTTATTCTTTAGTAGGCCTTTGTTAACATGCTAAGGGATGTTTTCCTCTATTTGACACTAATAGAACTTAAGGTCTCTGGGGAAGAAGAAATCTAAGAAATAAGTAATTATTGCTCCAGGCTTCACTTCTAAAGCAAACAGACCTGAGGTAATTGTCTGAATAATCTGGATGAAATAACATCATTTTCAATGAATCACAATTGTTTGAGCTATCCAAATAATAGAACAATACATAGACTGTACTTGGCACATATAGCTTCTGGGAAAGGCAAGGCCTGCTTTGGGGAAGTATTGACTGTTTCTGAATTTCAAAGATTACTGGTTTTGATTTTATGCAAATGCAGAACACTGTACAGGACATAGACATCGTACAGGACGGGGTCAAGTTCAGTTCGTCTGACCAGAGTATTCTGTTCTTTCAAGCACAAAGGCATGGAATGAGATTCTACCACAAGGACACTAAAGGCTACAAAAATTATGATCAGATCAAATTCGCTAGGAGAAGAGATAATAAAATTTACCAATATTTTTTAATAGCTGAATGATTTAAGGCAAAAATATCCCCATTCTAGACCTTAGATTATGGGGGAATAAGTAAAAGGATTGGCTTGAATAATTTGTAGGGTCCCTTTCAGGTCTCAATATATGTGATTTTAGAAGTTTGCTGGGCTGGAGATTCCCCAGGTTTTATTTTCTGAGCTCTGACTGAATCTAAATCTAGTACTGTTGGACTCCTTATGCACCTATAGGAAGGGAAGTGGAGTTTTTCTGATGGTTAAAAGTGTCTTCAAAGAGAATTGTGCGTGTGTTTACAAGACCATTTCAGTTTGTGTGTGTGTGTGTGTGTGTGTGTGTGTGTGTGTGTGTGTGTGTGAACACTGATTAAGCCTCTAGAGCTGAGAATGGCAGAGCTACTATTTTTAATGTGTTGGGTCATTCTGCCAGAGACAAAAATATTCTGAAAGTTAGTAAACTGGCAATTAAATGCTTTGGTCTAGAAAATGGTGTCACAATCTCTCTGAACTCTTCTTGAATTACAGAGTCCCATCCATCTGTAGGGTTTTAGGTATATGATTCCCCATGTGCTCCAAAGGTAGGAAACTTAAGAGTTTTTAGAGAAGAGCATCAGTGGCCACCTAAAATATGAATGCCACATGTGCCTTTAGCATCTCACACTACTGGATGCCACCTAAGGCAGGACTACTTATATTGCAGTATGTGCAGAAGGGCTGCTAGAGTGAATAAGAGAATGCTTCCTTTTTCGCAAGAAAATTGAGTATACTACCACTGGGTTCAGGGGTCAAGGGGAAATTATGTAAATCAAAGAGAAATCATGTAAAGCCTAGGATTTTCTCTAGGACTTTTCTTGATCACAGTTTCTACTTAATAGTTTCTTAAAACCCAGTAATGAAGTAAGCTAAAAAAGTCAACATCAATTAAAAATCTCATATATACATATTTCATGTGAAAACACATGGCTTTCAAATGTGTGATTTTCATTGGGCCTCCTCATCTGTTTGCCATTTAAGGTTCAGATTGTTTTCCATATTCTTATCAAAGGTTGTCTGCTCAGGATGAAAGCCTGGAGAATAACTGCAGAAGAGAAGCTTTCTGAAGTTATAAATAATCAAATGCCCATGGGGAGGATGACTTCATTTCTAACAATACAGTAACAATCACAGCTCAAAGGACACACAAAACTAATGGAGTGTCTTCTCAGGAAGAGATAGTTGTGGCTTAGTTTATGGTAATGTTTCTGGATCCCCTCATCCACTAGTAGCAATCACAGAGGCGGGACAATGGAGAGAATTGGGGAAGTCTTGAACACAGCTTGGGCACAACACTGTGCTGATAAATGGAGAAAAAGCCATGAATTGTAGTGCTTATTAGTTTTCCTGGTATAAATACTTATTTCAAGGTTGCTGTCATGTCACTTATTAAACTTGGATTTTGGAAGAGATGCATGGAGTTGATACTTCCAGTATAGCATCAGCTGGCTTCCATCACTGACTGGAGACACAGGAAGTCACTTCTCTGTTGCCTTCTTCCTGCTTGTGGTCTGAGAACAACATATTTGAAGCTCAGGTGGTGACCATTCAGAGTGACGGTTCAAATGTTCCCACTTTTACAACTAAATTTAGGTTTCAGGTCTCTGAGAGAGGCAAACAGATGTCTCTCCCAACAAAGGGCCATTTATCAACAAATTACATTCAGAGATGAGGGAGTGAGCACAAACAGGTCCTGAGTCAGCCCCACAATGTCTCAAGGACAGTTCTACAACCCCCTTGAAACTTACTCAAGTATGTCCAAAGATAAAAGCTCGGCCAATTAAAAATGTACTAATGTAACTGCTGCTTGCTTAACCAATCGTATTTGAGATGACCTAACTGTTCCTGAAATTGCCCTAGCTGTGCTTAAAAGGGGCATGCACACTCCTCTCAGGGTCGTTGCCATTTTGTACAGTTGAACGACCCCACATGCATGTTGGAATATTAATAAACGCTCTTTGCTCTTGCATACTGTTTGAGTCCGGGTCTTCCTTCAGTGTTTCCTCGGATCCTACAAGGGGAAGATAATGGCAAAAGGAAGGGAGATCTGGTGGTGAGGAATAGTGGAACTCACTTATTAATTTCCTAGGGTAGTAGAGACAAACTACTACAAAAATGGGTGTTTTAGAGCAGTAGACATCTACTCCCTTAAAGTTCTGTCTTCCAGGGTCTGAAATCAAGGTGGTGGCAGAGTTGGTTCCTTCTAGAATCTCCTAATATCTGATGATTTCTAGGTATCCTTGGCATTCATTAACTGAAATACATACCACCCCAAGTCTGCCTCCACCCCATGTCACTTTCTCTGTGTGCCTGTCTGGATCGTTTCCTCATATAAGGACACTAATATGTGGTTTAGGACCCAAGATAATTTCATCCCCAGAACCTTACATACCCTCTAAATCTTATTTCCTCACATTCTGAGGTTTCAGATGGACATTCTTTATGAGACAAGATCTGTGACTGTACACACACACACACACACACACACACACACACACACACACACACACAGAGAGAGAGAGAGAGAGAGAGAGAGAGAGAGAGAGAGAGAGAGAGAGAGAGAGAGAGAGAACAGGAATAGTTACAAAGAGCTGGGCCGGGCTAGAGCTGGCCACCTGGCTCTAAAACCTTCCTCGTGATGTCCTGAACATCACAGAGGCTGTGATCTGTTTCTTGATTATGGCCACAGGTTCTCAGGGTCTGTGATGTCTGTGTCACTTTCCTCCTTCATCAGCCTCTTTGTCCCCAAACCTAGTGACTGAAGAGTGGAATGATCCTGGTTTAGGTTTCAGCTAAGGCCACAGCTGGGCAATTCTTTCCTTCCATCACTTTCTAACTTTTTGAAGATAATTTGAGTAAAAATGGCCCCAACCGTAAATCCTGATCTTATTTAGTTTCATACACTCTACTGAGTAGAATAAGCTCTTAAGAAATACCAGAAGAATAAATGAAGACACAGTCTACTTCAGTTGATTAGGGTGCTTAAGTATTAGAAAATACTTTTCCAATCTGAAAAATATATACTAGTACCTTGGGTCAGTGGAAAACAGTGGCTGAGAATTAGTTGGTCAGTTGTCAAAGGATTCTCCCACCAATGAGCACTCCTTTGGATCTAGAACAGGAGCTACTACTGTCCATGGAAACTCACGAGGGTCTTCCCCAGGTTCTGGTGAGGCAGTCAGCTTGGCAGGCCTGAGAGGGCATGGAGAGGTCCCTGCGACCCAGTGTCAACTTTAAACCATGTCTTGTGGATACCCTCAGTTCTATGTATGAAACTCATGCTTCAAAGGAAAGGTCAAATTCCAGAGAATGAGTCTGAACTCTATTTATGTGACTTAGAGAAGTTCATATCCTGGGAATCGCCAGGGCTTTGGGGATCTGCTACACCACTGAGATCTCTTTTTCTCTGCCAAAATTCTATCTTTCCACCATCAACTCTATTTGCTAATATTGCTCACATTTATGGGCATTGCTTAGGAGTCCCTAACAGACCTTTCCTATTACTGTGGCTTCTACCTCACTATATCCCACAGTGTTGATTTTGCTTTTGGGTTTTGGATATGTGGTTATTTGGCTGGGTGAGTCCTGTGATCACAAGAAACAATGAGCACATAAAACATACCTCCTTTTAGAGGTAAGCACTGATGCATATTCCAGAGCAGAGAGATTCAAATCAGCCCTATAAATCTCCCCACCATGCTATATATTCCACATATAATGACGAGGAAGAAATTCCTTATGAAATAGCTCATGATTAAGAGGTTTGTTCTCATATTGCTGGAAACCACAGGGAGGGGGTAAAGCTGGCCACTGATGTCAGTGCCTCTCCATGGCATTTGTACTGAGGGTTTAATCATTCATTATTCATTGTAAGAGTCTAATATGTGTGCAGTAGGGGGATATTAATGGGGTGCAACTTGGGGTATGCATAGGTTTTACCTATGAATATATATATAGTTGATATAATCATTTTGTTTGAAAACACATTAAGACCTAGTTATAAATAATTCTACATGTATGTATATATTAAGACTTAGTCATAAACAATTCTACATGTATGTATATTCATGTATTGATGAACTCTAATGGTACCACTTTGAGAAATCATTTGATGATTTTTTTGACATGTGGTGAAATACAGTATGTCATCAAGATTCAAAATAAATGATAATAAATAGAATGAACCAACCACTTGCATATTTTTTGTTTTTGTTTTCTCTCTGCTATGATGGGTTTTCTGGAAAAGGGTTAACTATGCATGTCTGCTCTTCCAGTCTGTTAGGGAGCTGTGACAGTCTGTTAGTTTGAATCCTGGTGCTGCTACTTTCTCTCACCTGAAATAAGGAATAGTGTGCATCTGCTGGGTATGTCTGTAATGCATGACTACGTGTGACTGTAGGTTATTAATGTAGGTGCCTAGGAGGCACAGGAGTTGCAGAGGGAAACTGAATGTAGTAAGATTACATTCTGAAATAACCTTAATAATCTCCAGTTGCAACTGAATTTATGGTTGAAAGTCTGCTGTGCTATGTTAGATTACTGCGGTGTTTCCAAATGCTTCCCTCTGCCATGATGGCTGCCATATCAGCTTGTAATCTTAGGCTAGGAATAATATATGTTAGAGTTAAAGGGGGATCTTCCTCTGTAGGTTTAAGAAGAATAGGCACAAGAAGGAAGGAAAAACAGACTCAAGCATCTTTGTTTCTGATACTGTTGGGGTCTCCTTGTGGTATCACAAGGTATCTTGGGGTATCACATTGGCATAAGGTACATATTAGGATAATGAGCTAGTGCTGTGCTTTTTTGAGGTGTGTGTGTGTGTGAGTGTGTGTGTATGTGTGTGTGTGTGTGTGTGTGTGTGTGTGTGTGTGAGAGAGAGAGAGAGAGAGAGAGAGAGAGAGAGAGAGAGAGAGAGAGAGAGGAGCATGTGCTCTCTCTAATAGGAGTCAGATGGGTGGTATAATGAAGAGAATTGGGAAAACATTGAACACAGCTAAGGCATAACACTGTGCTGGTAAATGGAAAAAAAGCATCCATGATTTGCAGTGTTTGTTAATTGCATGGACTAGTCCTTGCTGTTTTCATAGCGTATTAATGATGGTTGTGGAGGTGTGGCAAAAGGAGGCTAAGGCAATAGAAGAAGGATATACAGAAAAACCAGGTCCTGGCAGCCTGGAGGGGCAGAAAGGGCCTGGGGAAACCTATCATTCTGCCAGAGGCTCAGAGTCAAGGTGAAGATGGCACAGTGGTCATCGTCTCAGAGACGGAAACACAAGACCACAAACTCCAGTAGTGAGTGGAGCATGTTGGCTTCAAGTGTGTGTACCCCTTCATCCTTTACCCCTTAGTCATTTCTTAGTCAGATTTATCCCACAAATATCAGAGATAACCACATTGAAAGGAAAATGATTGATTTATGCTCACAGCACGTGGTTCCTCGGCCATCCATATTACTTTGGGTTTGAGGCAGCACACTCCATCACAGCAGGAGCATGTGGCCAAGTGCGGGGGTGGGGTGGGGTGGTATTCACTTCACGGTCTGGATAAAGAGAGAAAGGGGGATACTGCCATTAGGAGTAAACATCCTAACAGCCCCATCAAGGACATGCCCCAATGATCTAACTTCTCACGCGGCCCCATCTCTTAGTTTCCACCACCTTCCAATAACTTCATGAGCGGGACCAAGTCTTTAGCAGACAGGCCTTCGGGGAACACTTACACAACCCACGGCCACCATTCTCCCTCCACTGTCACCACTGTAGGGAAGAGTGCTGTTTTAGGCAATCACAGCCGTGACTAGGGTGAGAGAATCTTCTTCCCTCATGGAATGGGGATGAAGAAATTCTTTGAGATGTCAAGGTGGCATCTGTAGTGGTTTGAACGTGAATGTTCCCTGCAGGCTCAGAGTTTGAACTTGGTCCCGGGTTGATGGCACTCTTTGGGTAGGCTTAAGAGGTGTGGTCTTGTGGAAGGAAGTATGTAGCTGGATTTTTCTTGGGGCCGCTAGCTCACAAATAGTGACACGGTGACTTATTATTAATTATGAAAGCTCAGCCTTAGCTTACGTGTATCCTACTAGCTCGTATAACTTAAATTAACCTGTTTCTATTAATCTACCATGGGGCTTTTTACCTTTCTTTCATTCTGTTTCTCAGACTCCCTCCATGTATCATTGGCTTCTCCCTCTCGCCTAGATTCATCTCCTGCTTCCTCTCTCTCTGCCTGGAAGTCTCGCTTCTACCTCCTGCCTAGCTATTGGCCTTTCAGCTCTTTATTAAATCAATCAGCAATATATCTTCACACACTGTGCAGATACCCCACAACAGAAGTATGTCACCGGAAGCTGGCTTTGTGAGTTCGCGGTCTCACTGTTTCTATCTTGCAAGGATAGAATAAAAGACACTGTGAGTACCTGCAGCAAAATGTCCCTGTGAAGCTCAGGAGACCGTGTAGGTTTAGGAGCTTCAGCACTCACTACAGATACAAATCCAAGGACCAAAGAGGAAAAGGTGCTGTAGACGGTAGTCCACAGGGACCACCTCCCAATGGATGGATTCAAAGGGATTCCAAACCTCTGGAGACAGAGCTATTCCTTTTCCTGGGCATGCTTTCTGACTAAGGGAGAGACAGATACACATGTGCCTGGGACAGTTCTGGTGAGGACTATTCTGGACACAGGGGAATGGTCTAGGTGACCTTCCAGGGGTCTCGTACCTAATCTGTGATTCTGTAAGTAATGAGTCAACAGAAAATTGCATTCTGTATCTGCTCGACCATCTGCTGTTTCCCCAACACTGACTGATAAAGGCATGGCTATGTGGGGAGAAGGTGAGCTGTAATTAATTATCTATGGCATTGATGAATTTCTTGTAGGCTATTCCCCTGCTAATCCAGCAATATAGCTGCATCCATCCTTCCTCCCAGTGTTAATGGTCTATTTATGGACTCTGCTTCATAATTAAATGTTTCATTTGCAAGAAAATGATTCCTAGGAAAATCTAAGCTCTTTTTATGTGCCTGCAATCAGCTCGTGCAGACATTACATAAGAGATCTGTCCATGTTGCTTGCTGCTTTTAGCCTTCTGGATAATCTAATGTATTATGTTTCCGGTGTATGTAAATTACTAAATGTAATATTCTTCAGTATGCCTGCTGACTGAAGCCAAATGTATTGTGGGCATAATTTTAATTATTTATATGCTATAAAAATGGAAGAAATCAGAATTACAGAAGCAGGGTTCTAAGAAACCCCTCTGGTTTTCTTTTGGGCAACAGTTTAATGAGATTAAAACTGTAATTGTTTTTCAACTCTTGCTTAATACTTGTTCTGGTCATCTTTTGTCAGCATGTGGCCATGCCCAAGAAGGCATTTAGTGCCAATCCAGAATGCCTGCCTTATTAGAAAAGAGTACACATTAGAAGGCAGGGTTCAAGACAGGGCCGCGGCTGGCAGAGCTCAGGGCTCTTTTCTGAGCCCTGTCTTTTGTTCTTAGTGCTGGTCCCGGGGAGGCCCTGAGCATTTTTCTACCGAACCAAGAAGACTGTGGGTAGGTAGGCAAAGCCCTGAAGCAGAACTGGCAAAGAACAAAGAGGAGGTACATGTGTATGTGTGTGTGCACGTGTGTGTGTGTGTGTGTGTGTGTGTATACCTCAAGTGTAGCAGCATGAAAACAGAATGAGACCCAGCTAGTTTTATTAACTAACTAGAAATATTGGAGGGCAGTTTTGGTTCAAGATAAGATGGAGTTAGGGGATCTATCTGTATGAGTCCACTGTCACAGAAATAGACACTGACCTTATCCTCTTGTGACATGGTATAGGGCACAGACATTGGAAGCAAAGTTCTGCTTCTGAGGTCACTGAATGCTTTCATTGGATCATTGCATGCAAGATTTTTGCATGGAGCCTTGGCTTTCTCATCTGGGAAGTGGGGCACGTGCTGCTGCTGCTGGGTTGTGGAGTTATGGGTTAGGAAGGAAACGGTGCTGGTGCACAGGAAAGTGAGTCGCAAGCGCAAGGGAAGGTGGAAACAGATCGTTTGTTACCACCGCAGCCTGTTCTGAACCCATGAGCCACACCAGTGATTTCTTTTGTAGCTGATGGGAAGAAGAAATGTATTTTCAGTGTTAATCTGGTTGCCTTGGGAGACTAGCAGACCTTCTTTGAGGTGGAAAAACTGGTCTTCCCTTTGGGACCACATAAGGGGATATTTGGATTCTATAAGACCAGTCTACACCTGTTCCTGTTAATGACCTATAATAAAGAAGCAGCTTTAGCATGCCAATACTTCCTGATCTGTTACTTTTATAAAATACAATAACACGTATTATTAAAAACATAAAATAAAAACTAGAAAGCACAAGTCCTGTGTTTGTTTTGTTATTTAGATTCAATTACCATAAAACTTAACATTTATATTTATCTTGTCATGCGGTGGGAACCAAAGTTTATGGGCTGGTACTACACTGCAGACCTCACTTTAAGGAGCATGGTTGTAGATAAGGGAAATTTCAAACAAACAAAGAAACAAACAAACAAAGAAATTGTTTTCTAGAATAGAATTTGAGTTATTACATGTGTTTGGTGGATGGGCTGCTAAATCAATGTGAAACTCAGAGAAGAAGGGATACACCTAAAATGACCTCTTTTGATACACACAGAGAAAAACGGTCTAGGGAAAATGACACTCAGTCAAAGCTCTGTCTTACATGTATGAAGTCTAGTCTGATAGGAACCAAGAGGAAGGGTCTGTGTCCTTCCCTCTGGGGAGGAACAGACAGCAGAAATGCAGTCATGGGGATCTCAGAGGTGAGCAGGGAGCAGAGAAACTTACAGCCAGAACCTAGACAGGATGACATCATCCTTCTCTTGAAGAATGTGTGTACACACTCATATTTCTGTATGTATGTGTGCTCATGCGTGTGTGTTTCTGTGTGTGTATGTGAGTACA